TTCTCAACAGTCACCATATTTAAATCACTTATTCACTGAATCTGTTTTGTTACAGTGCCAAACACATGAAACAGTTAATGAAATGGAAGAACAGGGAACAAAAAGGCTTCCAAGGGAAGCTAAAAGCTGAAATTTGTTGTTTGAGAAGCATACATTTTAAAAGCATATTTTTGGCAAATATTGAATAGCTTTGATGGTGTTCCACCAATTTATTCTGCGTTCAGCTCATTTAGGCCCCTGTGAAAAGTGAGTGATTGATCATATTGATGATGCAGACCAAGAACTAATACCAAAAAAATGTCACAAACAGCAAGGCCACAAACATGCATTTTACTGAAGAACACATCCCTGGACACATGAGTAGCTAGCAAATGTAAATCCATTTCTATGCAAATAATACACACATAGATCTAAAAGTTAAAAAGGCTACAGAGTAGTTTCTTCAAGAAAAGACATGTCTGCATTGGAGGTCAGCTCAGCTAAAGACATGTGAACCCTTGATTTTCATTCTATGTACTTTTAAAAATACTGCTAGTTGCACATTTGCTGCCAAGTACCTAATTACCTTTAAAAATCTAGCTCTGCACTGCTGAAGCTCTTGAGTGATCGAGGTATCAACATCACTCATCATTATGGAGCTAATTTTAATGATGAAAGCATTGCTAAAAGTTATTTTAAAATTCATTTTTACTTAATTTCTTTAGAGATGATTTGTTTGAGTACCTGAGACACAGTAACTAATCACTGATGGTTTTCTCTGCAAATATAAAATAGATTTATATGCCCTCCCAGTAGGAACAAGAATTCCATCACCTCCTCCTGAATTTCTGAGTTATCGAATATTTGATGAGTGCTTAGGGAATCAGTATTGTGCCTTTTCACAGCAGTAATCAAGGAATGAAGTATTCTCTGCCATAATGAATCTACTGCAGGACTAAAAGATGAATATTTCAAATGCAAAGCAATATGTTTGTTTTGAACACTTTCAAGTTTGGCTTTAATAAAGCAAGTAGTGAAGTATGCAATGAATTATATTGTTAGATGTTTAAAACAGAGCTGTGCAATATGTCTGAATGCATTTAATCCAAATAAATACTCATTTTAAATGTGACTTATAAATATGTATTACATGTATGATGAACGGATGACTCAAGAACCATGAGAGACCTGGGCCTTGCCTTCTACTCCTGGTTTGCTTCAAAGCAAGCTCAGCCTGACAATTAACCAAGGCCCAAAGCCAGAAGAACCAAGCTGAGTTTTATGTGGGCTGAAATGAAACACAAGCACCAACTATTCAAGTTAGGATCATTTAAATCAAGCCTGAGGTGCCTGGCTGGGCTGGGACGTGCTGCATGTGTTCCAGGTGCTGGTGGGACCAACGTGCAGCCAGAGGCTCATTTAGGATTGCCACAAAACAGAGCCCCTCAGCTGGGTCCATCACTATCCTTCCTGCACATCCAGAAGCCTTTCCTGCCAGCCCAGAGGGTGCTGGCAGCAGGAGGTGATGGGCTGGTGAATTTGAACATCTCCCACCACCATCAGCTTCACTCTGAGAAACACCAAATCACTGCAACACTGAGAGGAATGGCCATAACACATTCTCCTGGAAAACCTGTCAGAAGGCAAGGTCTCCTTTGTCATGGCATTCTCTCCTTTGTCTCCAGGGGATTTTGATTTTTGCTAAAATAACAAGTGAGTTCTCTTTAACAACAAAGGAAATCCAGCTAGATTTGAGGCCAGCTCATCTCATTTGCAAATTGGCAATACCTGTGACAGAGTCCCTGCAGAGCTATTTTGTGTGAGACCCTCCCTATGTCTATCCACAATGAGATACAGAGATGAGCAGTTATAGCAGCTTGTATTTGCAAGGATTGTTACTTAGTTTAGTTTATTTGTCAGCTCAACTAACCAGCAGCACACAAACAGAAATAGCATTTATCAACAGAGCTGAAAATGAAAGTAATGAGAAAAGCACAGCTTTAATCACAACAAAATTCCAAGTGCTTCAATTATCCAAGTTCAGAACCAATGTACTTTACCTGGAAATTGCCCCTGAAATAATGAATTCAATAAGGAAAATTCTTGTATGGTCCAAGTTAAACTATTTAAAAAGGAAGAAAGAGAGTACTTAATTATATAATGTTTCACCAATAATTATATAGTTCAGTATAATGTTCACTCACTGGAGAACCTGATTTTCAAAGGAACATTTATGAACATCAGTCAAACAAAAAACACCTGCCAGACTATAAATTCAGCCAGTGTTGTGCACATTCATTCCAACACAGCATTAACACATTAGCGAAAATCCAAATCTTAATGGCAAATGTATCCAATAATTTATGTTAAAATATTTACATAGAAAAGCATGCATGATACAGTTTTCTAATGCATTTATAAAAAACAGTATGACCTCTCTTGCTACAATTTTTAAAAGCTGGAGTTCAAGATGGAATCAAAACTCTGGAAAACAGAAAGCTGTGGTACTTGAACAACATAAGCTGCCAATCAAAATCTGACCATCTTAGGGACATTTCATTCAAAAGTTGCTAGAAATCAATTTTCAAAGACAACTTTAAATTAGTTGCATGGCAACTTTATCTTCATGGAGTCCTGGGGAGCAAGGCTCAGGGAACACCAAGGATTTCTCAAGGAAAAGGTTTTCCCAAGTCATAGCCCAGCACATGTCACACAGCTGAGGGGGCTCAAAAAGCACCCTGGTCAAACACAGTAAGGATCTGCAAAGGATCATCATCATCCATTAATAAGCCTGTGTTAACCCTATGTACAACAATTCAAGCCCTATGGGACTATTCTGGAAAGTCCTCATGATGGCCAAAATAGCAGCTGCCACACTGGTGTCCCTAAAGTTTATTTACAGGTGCCAGAATTCAGCAAATGCCCTTCTAGACTGGGGGCTCTGGGCTTTACAAATCTTCCTCAACTCTTCTCTGTCTTGGAGCAAAGCTGCCCAGAAGGAAAACCTGATATATTCACGAGTTTAACAACACAGCACTGATTTCTCATTTCAACCCAAAAGGAAAGGAAAATACGCCAAAACCCCTGCAACCATTTCCTTGCAGCAGCAAACCAGGTTGTCCCTGGGTCACTTTGCCAAAGAATTACCTTGACCTCACTCTTTGGAAAAGATCAGAGTGCTCATCAGTTATGGCCTCAGATTTCACAGCTCCCAGAGCAGAGGAGCCCAGCTGCACCATCATCCAGATTTCACAGCCTCATGTCCTGTGGCCAGCAGGGCTGGAAATGTTGAGCAGTGTAGATTTCTACTTCCCTGAGGGGACTATAACACTCAGTCGGGGTCTTGAAAAGCCTGAGGTCTCTGACAATCAAAGGGGTTTTTAACAGCATCACACACCATTTTAAGTTATTTTAATGGCTCCCTTGGCATTGTGCAAAGAGAGACTTACAGTAAGTGCAGCACTTGGTTTTGCAGGTGGGGAATACCAAACGCAGTCCCACCACAATTTTAAAATCCTGTAAAAAAAAAGGATTTAGGGAATACAGTGATGTAACATGGGGCAGTGCTTTACATGGCTGATGTGAAGCCCATCAAGGTAATTTAGCAGTTAAATTCCAGACAGATGATGCCACAACACGCAGTGCACACCATGGCACAAACCCAGACTCCTTCTGACACAGCAAACACACCAAACCCATGATCCTTCACAGCCTTTGCTTGTTGTGCTTCTAAACTTCTGTCTTGTATGGCCAAATCCAACTTGCCCAAAGCTCCCTGTAGTACATTAAGATTAAGAAATCTGGGGAATCATCATCATGCCATGCCACTGTAAATTATCACTGCTCCACCAACTTTGCCCTAATATGAAATGCCACAGAACTGCTCAGAATCCAACAGTGATGAATTTAACATGCCTCCTTCCACTATCCTGATGTCAGCAGAGTTACAGCAATTTATGCAATACAAGGATCTGTCCTTTTCTCCTTATCAAAGCATTTGATCAAAATCAGTGTCATGCAAAAAGACAACCTTACTTAATTTGAGCAGTAGAGTCAGGCTTGTCACTCTTAACATCATAAGAAAAAGGGAGGTATTTACATATGAGTACTTGCATATTCCTTTTTATCTGGCTTCACAAAGATAACAGTAAGATCACTTTCTTCCTCAGTAAAAACTAGTGTGAAACCTCACAAAGGATCAGCATTTTCCCTTGCTATTCCCTCCCTCCCCTTCCCTGCCTTCTGAAAAGCAAGACCCCAAGACATTTCAAATCTTCATTAGCTACTTCTCTGCCTGTGACAGTCTGGTGGTGTGGAGCAGCTCCAGCTCCCTCTCTTCAGTTCACCCTCAAGTCAGAAAGGTAAGACCCTGTTTCTGATGTGAGGGGACAGGGGGCTCACAGTGCTGAATGCCACCACCACAGATGACACTCCCAACACCAGCAGTGGCCCCTGCCCCACGCTGCAGATTTGGAGCGTGTGGAACCACAAACGAGCTCACCCAGCAGCCCCAGATCTGCATCTCTCAGGATGCATTTCGAACAAGTGGATGCATAAATTCACTCATTTGAAATCTGCTCTCTTCAAGAACTTGCTACTATGACAATTTAGAAGAAGCTGCTACAGATAAGATTGATGAAACGTATTGATTAATTTTCTCTCCAGCTACATTTGAATTTTAAGTTTTCCCTAAACAAAACCAGTTGGTGTTGGTTTGTTAGTATTCCAGGGACTGCAGCAATGTGCTTCAGCAGCAAAGGAAGTTCCATGATAAATGTGTTCTCCAATCTGCATCTGTAAAGTAGCTATAAAGTCAGAACAATCCAGGCAAAATTTTTCATTATGTTTTTAAATATACTTATTTACATTTTAAATCACACATAGACAATATGAAATATCTTTCACTTAGACAGGTAGGAACAAGAAAACAGATGCATCCATTAAGCTTGAAATAATTCAATGAATTAGATAGTACTCAGTGAACACTTTGGTTTATGGATATAGCCTTTGTTTTAACTTACTTGAAAAAACACGGCCATGGCTCCTACCACCCTGTTTTCTAGAACTGCTGTTCCAAAACTGTCAAAGTCATCAGGATTGTAGAAGTAAATCTGCATCTGCAAAAATTAAAACCAACAACAGAATCACATTAGTGTTGATTCATACAGCTTTCACATGATGTAATGCATACACATTGTATGTAAACCCAGTGTTATGAACATGAGATAAAGGAATTCTGCTAAACAATATTGTTTAACCAGCATCTTGATTAATAGCATGACTGCCCTGCTGGGACAGTAAGCAGGGAACAGAATTGATGCATTGCATTTTAATATCAATTCCAAAGGTAAACAGTATGGCCAGTCTGCTCAGATGTTAAACTTTGTGCTTTCTGCCAGCATCTCTTCATTTCTTTGCACACTGAAGGCTCATCTCCCGCGCTGTTAAATGTGCTAAACATATTTATCTCAAAATCCATAGAGAATTTCAAAAAGGATTTCGATGTTTAGAGTTATTCCTTTACTCCTAAAGTAATTTGTAAGATAAAAGTCTGTCTCCATAGCAATGCATTTTTATGAGCCTGTGATATTCAGGTCTATCAGTTAAGGTCACACTTCACCCTGTCTACAGTTAAATTTCATGACTTTTATTTCCAAAGTGTTAGTACCCTGCAAAAAGCATGAGACAAAACCAGATATATTGATGTAATTTTTTAATGAATAAATAAATATTGATAATTACACAAACCCCAAGAAAGAGCAGGTGAGAACAATGATTACCCCAAACTAACAGGTGTTGGAGTTACACAAATAAAAGAGGACCAAGAACAGCTTCCTCTATTGACTCTGCTGGTAAACAATCCCACTCCACTACACACATGCCATGAATAAGGGCAACCTACAACGGCCTGTGGATGCTCCTGCTCTTAATTCCCTGTACAGTTCTTGTTCCACTTCCCACATTAGATGAGCTCCCACTTCTGCCAGCTGCCTGAACACACTGCTGCTTCTCCAGTAGTTGTTCAACCCCTGCATTCCAAAAGAAGCCTCTAGTGTTAGTCCATCTCCATAAGCCATGATTTTCTTGTTTGGGTTTTTACAAAATAGCGCTGCATGACACATCCTATTATATTCACAAATGCACTATTTTTCCCATATTTTCTATATGCCAAGGGAGATTATACCATTTTATCTTACACAGATACATTCCTATTCACATTTACTGATGCCCAGGCTTCTGACTGTACATACAGTCTGTAGTGGACAGGTGCTTTGCTGGTATCATAGAGTTAAAAAAACACCACCACAGAGGGAAAAGACCAACATGAAGGTTGGAGCATTCAGAGGTAGAGGTACTTTTTTCAGCAGCAGGAAGACCACACTCCAAATAGACCACAAAAAATTGAAAAGAAATTGGCATTCACACTAGCTTTATAAAATTTGAAAGCAATTTTCTTCCCCTTCTTGGCCTTCCTATTTCCAGCATACTTATATACAAACACAGATGCTGACAATACCTCACAAAGGTGGCAATGCCTCCAGACTCTGACAACTCATGCATTGAACAAATGCAGAGCAAGGTACAGCCATTCACTGATGTAGAAATTAGAAACAGTTTACTTCAGGAAGAATTGCTTAATCTCCAGTTTAGCCAACACAGACCAAACCTGGCAAAACACTCACAAACTACATTTTGCTCCTCTTCAAAATAAAGTCTAAAATTATCTATACCTTACATAAAACATTTCACAATATATTCCTCACAGGAGTTTATGAAGAAAAGCATCACTGAGTGAGTTCAGCATATGCCAGGATCATTTTGGATCAATTTTGCTCATGGCATTTTAAGGAAATTAATTTTTACAACGCACTCTTGCATACCAGTGCAAAGGGCTTTGGTAAAAGAGTTTTTCATTCAGATCCCTCGTCTTAGCAGTTTAATCTCATAGCCTAATCAAGAACCACACTCTGCCTTGATTACCATACACATTGGAGCATTTTACCACTGCTCCCTGGTGTTTTTCCAGAGAGCGTGGTTGCTCTCTCTGCATCCATCACGTCAAGGGGAACTGTCCTGTATGAAAAATTATTGTCATCTGTCATGCAGTAGCTTCCTTATGTGCTCATACAGCTAGAAGGAACACTTCAGTCATACACTATCTGAGGAATTGCTATTATATAATTTACACACACATACCCTGCAAAAACAACAGTAAAAAGACAGTAGAGTTACACCCTCAAAGCCTCATGGTTCAGGCTGCTCATAAAACCACACCTGGACACCGCAGATCATTAGCATTATGGCAATTTTCTAATTATGTGATCGCATATTGTTCTCTTCCATAATACAGCCTCATCAGTTTTCCCCAATTTACAATAAAATGCAAATCTATCCAATGTATTTTTGTTCTTTTATTCATAATATACATAATATTGAATGCATTTATCAGTAGATAGTTAATTTAATATTTTCTATGGGTGGGATAAGGTTCTTTATGTACAAAGTGGGAATAAGACAGTTAACTGTAAAATTAATTTCACCGCATACTTAAGTGGCCTAAACATGCTAGAAAATTTTCATTATTACTCCTTATTATATAATTAGTGTATACAATATATGGGGCACTTTGCATATAAATGACTTCTACCGTCTCTGCCTGGGACGTAAAAAGCAGCAGCACAGAATGCAACAAGGAGCCTTTCAAACTAAAGAAAATTTGGATTGTATTATAATGTGTTATTTGTGAAATGCAGAATGGATAATCACCCAAGCTTACACAACCAGCCTGATTCGTGGCAGTGACTGATTTCAGCCCCACACAACAGCATTTCTGTACATCTTTGCACGTGATTCCACAACAGCTTCTATTCTCCAAAATTACAAAATGTAAAGGCTGCAGAATCCTAGAGCAGAGCCTAAAACGCCCTTTGCAGTGTGACACTGCCTGTGTGCAGTCGGGTTGCTCTGCTCCACACATCCCTGTGACTGTGCTCCCAGGAGGGCACGGGTGCCCTGCTCCCCGTGCCTCAGCAGATGAGATTTACACGGCTCTCACATCCAGGCCCATTACAGCTAACAAGGCTGGGAAAGGCTTACGTGGCTTTCCTTAATCTCAGATGTGCAACATGGCAGTGCAACTGCATTTACCTTGTACAGGTATCATAAAAACCATGCGTGTCCAAGCAACTTGAAATTTTCAGTATTTTGGTAAAGCCAAGCTGAGATAAACCATCCCTGGTGACACAAAGGTACTTTTCCTGCAGGAAGACTTTCTCCATCCTAAAAAGCTACCACTAATACTACTGTAGCTACAGAGCTTTACCACGGCAGGGAGAGGGCAAGAGCTTGCTTTTAATGGGAAAACTTCATGCTTTGACACTCTTCCATCTATAAAAGAATTGTTTTCAAATTTGAGAGAGATTTGCTGTACAGCACAGATTTAAGCCTGAAAAAATACCACTAAGGGCAAAATCTTCAAAGTGTTACATGTGCCTTAAAACAGAGGATTAGGGAGAAAGCCCTTGCTCTGCCATAACCCAGGAGATAATCACCAATCACCCTGAGAAAACAAGTCATGTTTTCTAGTCTCTGCTGTCCAGGAAGATCCACTGGCCAACCATTACAGTTTCCAAGCACTTCAGGTCTGTCTATTCCCAGCCTACAACACCTAGACAAGTGAATACACCCTGCACATCCAACATGTGGGTGATTCTCCAGCCTGGAGAGCCTTTGTGTCCAAGCTCCTACCCCTCCACCAAGCCCTGGGGGCAGGAAATTGCCTCCTCCTCAGGACAACCTACTCCCTGCAGGAACACCTTTCTTCAACCGTGTTCTTTCAGCCTCTGCAGAAATCTGGTGTTACCCAGACCTGGCAAAATATCTGTGCTTGGATTTTGATGCCAAACTGGGCTGCCACCATGCTGATGTTGTAAGGACAGGCTGTCCAAAACGTGTGTATTACTGAGAAATACTGCCCACCAGAGACCAGTTCTGATTTTATTAAGTACAATTGCCTCTGAATGACTAAACCCTCATTATGAAATGTCACTGGCTTGCTAGAACTGAGCCTGCTTCCAATGAATGGCCTCTCCTTGCCACCCACCCACAAATAAAAGGCTCTGTCTGTGCTTGGCATGACAGGCATCCAGACAGAAATCACCATTCCCGTGCATGACATCTCTTTGCTGTCATTACCCCACCACAAAGACAGAAAGTTTACATCCAATACAGACTGTCATGGCCAAACTCATTCAGCACTTATGAGAGAAAAGCCACAATGAGTGTTTGATAGATCCCAGAAGATGTGAGCGAGTTCAAAGCAATTCTAAGAGACTGGGAACCAAGCAAGTACATTTTCCATAGAGAGATGCCAAGTATTTTAAAAATAAATAATTGAGACTTTTAAATTGGGCTGCTATCACCCTGTGCAACCTCCTACAGCAGATTTCTCTTTAGATTAAAAAATGAACAAAGGCTCATTGTACTGTCACAGATGTGGAGTACAGAATATTCAATAGAATCAGGAATTCTGGTGTAAGGGAAAGGATCATCAGAATTATCTTTCTACTCATTTCCTTCCAGCAATCCAAGGACTACCATGCAATTTAAAGCATGGTAAAAAAGCATTAAAAATTAAAAGGTTTCACAGAGCAGCCAATTTTTTTATGAATTAGGCAGCAGAATGCAGAAGGAGCAGCAATGTGGATTATTATGTACTGCTTTAAAGACAAAGTATTTTCAGAAGAGCACAACACCCAGGCAGCAGAGGTAGACTGCAACTCTTTGCAGAGTGGTGAAACAAAAATTTTGAAATGTTTGCTTTAAATGATGGAGTTAAGCACTGAATATAATAATTCTTAATTAGTGTCTTTGCTGCTCACATTGTAAGAATAAATTATTCTCAGACACTTTTACAACTGGATTTAAAACCTTTTGCACAAAAATAAATTCTCTGGTAAGACTATGAATCATACATGATTTTTCTTAATTGAAAGCTTGCATGTAACTTACTTTTGCTTTAAATATGTGCATAGATTTACAGTGAACTGGATGATGTGATCCATTTGGCTGGAATTACAATTTTCTACAGACATAATGTAATCTTCACTGCAGCACT